GCACACACATTCGCAGGGTTGGATTTCTCTTTAGCGGAGAAAGGGGTATAGGGTTTTGTGTTCTTTCTTTAGGCAGACCATATACCTTTCTTTTGGCAGACCATATACATATGCACGATTTTGTGAAAAAATGTAATTGCGATTTTTCTGACAAATATTGCGATTGTGATTCGAATTGTGATATTTGTTTTTAAGCGACCCAACGTAAGTTTATTGTAAAATGCGGCCATAACTGCGGCTAGGAAGGTTGTATCAACATGCTCCCGTCTCTAGCACCCCCGCAGCCCGAGCTACGACTGAAAGAACTAAACTTACACAAAACTTCCGTTGGGTTGCTTTAAAGTCAAGCTTCAGTTTAAGATTCACCCTGTAATAGAAACATGTGATGGAGCATTACTAACCTGACTCAGATAGTTTGTTTCACCAAACCCATCTAGGAAAACCCTATTTGAAGCCATTTGAAAGGGCAGGCACTTTCAAAAATACTTGGCAGGTGATTGGATCAATCTGTCTATCACCTTCTATCATGGGCCACTTCTGATTGGTTAACAATGGCTGGTACATGTGGAGCACAGCACTTCTGATTGGTGTGGATGACTGACACACAAGAAGAAGAAAAAAAAAATTGTAAAAATAAATAAATAAGTTAAAAAAAATCGCAGGCTTTCCGATTTGATAATCGCATCATTTCAAATCGCGATTTCGATTTAAACTCGATTAATCGTTCAGCCCTAATACATACCAGTTTGTACAAGGTTGTTGCAAAGTGTTTAGCACAGATTATTTTTGTTTTTATGATGTCATTTTATTTTTACCAAACCAGTAGTGGTTTAATTACATTACACTCAAAATGCCAACATGACACCAAAACATTAACTTGCTCCAAAAACGAAATAATGCCCAAAAATAAGCATACATAATTTTTTTTTGCATCCAACTCATCCTTGCAAAACACACATAAAAAACAAACAAACAACCGTCTTTGTGAATTGCCTCATCATAACTTTCAAGAACAACTTTGTGAGTTTGTATTTTCTCTTGTAATCTCCATTTAGTTAATTTAGTCTACCCTCTTTTAAAATTGAGTGTGTTTTTTGTGCTTTATCCACCCCTCTTGTGCAGGGTGTTGGGGAGACCAGAGGTTGTCCTGCCCTACAGAGGGAACACTGAAGAACACCATGGCCTTAGCGGGATGCCCTGACTTCTTCTTACGTCACCCGAACTACCAGGTAAATATTGTGTAGTGTTGCACTCTGTGTATGCATGCTCTTCACTGGTGGATGGGAGCTTATTCATCAAGAACATGTTACAGTTACACTCCAGTTTGAAAGGCTCATGCAGGCAGGGCTATCTCCTTTTGGTAATTTGACCAGGGAATGCACCGGTGCAACTTCTAACTTTTACAGTGGCTCCACTTCTTTTTGCTTTCCCAGTTGTAAACAAGCATGCACAATATCAAGGCTCCCATTATTAATATAACTACTTACCGCTGTAGTTAACACGAGAAAATGTCTCAAGTTATATATGCCTTCTAATTCATCGATAGTCAAAGCAATGACTTGATTTGGGTCAAACTATACATTTGTGGACTTGAAAACCAAAAAAGCAGGTTAAAAAAAAACGTTCTGCGAGTTAATAATTGTGTTAATGTTACGCTTATAATTCCTATCAAAATGTTGATTAGTGCAACTTTGAGTTTGAAATTATCTTTAGTTTATAAAAGTGTTCAAGTTTTTGTTAAGGGAGTGTATCAACATGTGGCTTTGTGACTCCTGGCCTAGTTGGGTAAAAAATGGCATCCATTTAGCACAACAGACCCACTTCCTCTATGCAACCCTCGTAGAATGAGCCCTTTGTTTCTCAGCTTGGATTTTCTCCTCTACAACCGTCCAGTAACCTCAAGAATTTGGCTAAAAAGCATCGTGAAGGTCTATAAATAGAGCGCTAAAGAAACAACAATAACAAGCTGTTGGCTCTGTCGTGTGACAGGCCTGAGAGCATTGGATGATAGCATTACGTCTCACTGGGACCAATGGGACGATGGAGGAGACGTCGCCTCAGATGCCCTTATTCCTCTTAGTAGAGGTTTTGCCAAAAAAGTGTCTCCCTGCTAACCCAAACCGTGGGACCGCTGAGCCCCCTGCTGAGCTGAAATGAAGTTGGATTGGTTCACGTTAGATTCCAGGAAAGGGTTTTGCACCAGTAAGACTGCAGTGAATAGCGAATTGAATCTCCATAGAAAACAACATTCCTCCACCTTGAATCTTGCTGCGGAAAAACAGAGTTTGATAGTTAGAGGAGAGGGAGAGAAGTGGGTTATAACATTTCTGTGTCTGTGTGTGTTATGTAAAGCTTGCCAGTTGACGTGAAACAGCATGGCACACACACACACACACACACACACACACACACACACACACACACACACACACACACACACACCCCATGGGGTCTTTCTGTAGGCAGTCACTGTAGGTTGAGTGTGTGTATAGATAAGGAGCAAATGAGCTCAGTTTTCTGCAAAGTTATATAACGCTATACCTAACGGCGGGTATGATTTTCAGCTTTCAAGGCCTGTCTCCAAAGCGTGTGTGTGTGTGTGTGTTTGTCTGTCTATCTTAGTGAGAACTTTGGATCTGCGCCAGATATATTCCTTGCATACATAGGAACAGCAGAGCACTGAGAAAGCACAGTTCACAGACTCAAAACTCATCTGAGTTATAACTTTAGCAAGCAAAACATTAAACCGTCAGCGTTGGTGCCAACAGACCTGAGCGTGTGTTAGGACATGGACTTCAGCCTTTCTTTTCTATTTTTAGAGCGGTCAGTTGTCAGCACAGTTATTGCCGAGGTAATGGGCACGCTGGGGCTCGCACTTACAGTATGCTTTCGAGGAAGCATAGCCTTTGGTTCTCAGAGAAAACATATGTTGAAATACCTCAATGTTATTGCCATGGGCTGAAGAGTGAAAGGGGAGATGTTTGCAGAGGTGTCAAGAGTAGTCATGACTATCCAAATGTGTCAATCTGTTTAAAGAACCACTTCTGCTGGCTTCAAGAACCACAGCATTGGTCCAGACCTTGAGGACAAGAAAATAACTCGCTTAAATCTAAGAAAATCACAGGAAATTACTCTTAAGTTTCTGCAGGATAGAGAATCAAAGCAAGCAGCCCTACGGATAAATAGAACAAGCAAGAGGAAAAAAATGTTAAGGCCAGCAACTCAGAACAAGATGTCTTATCACTCCCTTTAACAACCGTTTTACAATCTTCATTGGCCTTTCTTTGAAGTTTTAAGTCTCCCAAGAGGACTAGAAGTGATGGTATCAAAGAAAAAATAAAGGTTTGTTAACCAGGGCAGTATGGGTGCAACTTATAATTTTATGTTAAAAAACAATATACAACAATATCATTTTGAGTTGTGTTAGAGGCGCAGTTCTGTGGATGGAAATGTCAGGTAAATCAATTGGACCACCACTTTGTTCAACACTCAAATATCTCAACAACCTTTGGATGGATTGCCATAAAACTGGTTACAGACACTGACCCCTAACCTACCCTTTACTAACTTTGGTCATCCTTTGACTTTTCATTGAGCATCATCATCTGGTTTAAGTTTCGATTTCTCCATCACTTTGGCTTAATACTTATCATCTTATCATCTTTACTTCTAATATGGTGAATACCTGCACTTAGCATCAGCATGTTAGCATTGTCCTTGTTAGCATGGTGGCGTTAGGAGTTAGCTCAAAGCAACTCTGTTAAGAAATGCAGTTTCACAGTGCTAAAGCTAAAAGCATGGCTGCACAGGTCTTGTTCACCTTCAACAACATATTATTTATTGCACACCATAAACAATCGTGACACATTATTGGACCACATTAGCACGCTCTAGATAAAGAACCATGTACAAGCTTTATACAGGGCTCTCAAGTTTCAGAGTGAGATTTTGGCAGCGGTGTTTGGTACTCCAACTTCTGGCTCCCCTTAAAGTTCCCATGAAGCCCTCTGTACCGCTAATGTCAACGGGTGGGCGGTACCC